TTGAAAGCCCCTACCTTGTATGTTTCACCGTACCAGCTCACCGTACAAAGTCAATCACTTAAGTCCTGTATTTTTTTTAAGTTAAAATTTCTATCATTCTGAGCTCTGCCTAGCAAGTGAAGTCCTACTTTTCTTTAGGGTTCTCCTGCCTAGAGATCCCCAGTGACCCTAGGATTACTCACTTCTTCCAAATGAGTCCTTCCAATTTATGGATGGTGGAGTGTCTGGTGAGTCAACCACAGTGCCCAGTCAAAGCTCCTCTTCCACTGCTGCTGCCTGGGATCATGGCCAAGGCCCAAGCAGCCAGGCTTGGCGGCACAGGCAAGAACAAATGCCTGCTTCCTCCTGGCCTCTTCTACCCAGGGTTAGCAGAGGTCCCACCATCCGCTACACAGTGCAAAAAGCCAGACTTCTCGCCTGCCAACAATCTCCAAGTGTGGACACAGCCCTGTTCTCACTCTCTAAAACACAGCCAAGGGCAGACACAGAAACAAGATCACAGTCAATCATAGTGTCTGCCAATGACCAGTAATGATCAAGGCCACTTTTAAATAAAAAAAAAGTCTTGTGAATTCCCGACTATTAAATTATCTTAATTATGTTTATTAGGTGGAAACATCAGACTCGATATAAATTCCTTACTTTTACAGTTTGCTATAGCTATAAAACTAAGCTGATTTTACAAATTGAATTCACAAAATTTAAAATTTGTTTATTTTATGAATGCATTGTTGTGGATGATGTTATTTTGCTGAAATTAAATTGTCTCTTGACACCAGAATATTGAACTCACTGTTATGGTTACAGCTTGTACCAAATATGAAAGCAAGTAGAGTGTTAGGTTACAAGGTGGTCATCAGATAATTCAGGATGGGCATTAAAACATTAATTTTTTGAAGAGCATAATTTAACTCAGACTAAAAGTTTACATAGTATGAAGGGATTTTGTCAATTTATTATTTTTTTAATCTCAGTTTAAGGAATAGTGGTCTCTACCTAAAGAGGCTTATTAGAAATGTAGTCTCAGATCCCATCCCAAACTTAATGGATTAGAATCTATATTTTAACAAAACGCTCAGGCAATAGATATGCACGCTAAACTCTGATATATTATTTCCCAATTCAGTCTTCAATGAGCCCTTATGGGGATGGGGCACAGTTGAATGCTCCCTTTTTTCCTTTTTAAATTAGTTATTCATTCTTTTCTTTGCAGAGTTGCTGATGGGTACATTTAAGGCGAACTCAGATTTTGATAAGAATAATGAACGGACAGTATTGGTGACTCCCATGGACCCTTGCTGGTGACTTCCACAAAGGATGTTCTGTTCAGAAATTTTTGTGCGCAGCTTCATACCAGCCACAAAAGACTGAAGAAATGGACAGAGCTAACAGGTATGGGGTTTCTTTGGGGGTAGAATTAGATAGTAGTAATAATTAGTACATAAGAGTTTTTGAGGTAACATTTGATAGTGGTAATGGTTGCATAACTTTGTAAGTATATTAAAAAGCACTAAACTGTATGCTTTAAGGAATGATCTTTTCTGTATGTGAACTATATACTTCCCTGTGTTGCCCAGGCTGGACTCAAACTCAGGATCTCAACTGATCCTCCTGCCTCAGCCTCCCAAGTAAATGGAACTACAGACAAGCACCACCACACCCAGCTATTTTTTTTTTCAGCTATTTCTGTTTTTTAAAAAGTTGCTTAGTAGGGCCAGGAATTTAGCTCAGTGGTTCCACTGCCTGCTTTGCAAGCGCAAGGTCTTGAGTTCAATCTCCGGTACCAAAAAAGAAAAAAAAAAGTTGCTTAGTAGATTTTTGCTGAGAAAAATGGATTTGAGGCTTACATTTGTTTATCTAAGGGGCTCATCCTGAGGAATTCCTCAAAGCAAACAATGTTCCCTTTCAATCCTCATCAGTGTGAGACTCTAGATGTATTTAGATTAGGAGTTAGATTTATATTTTATAAAGGTCACTGTGGGCCGGGCATGGTGGCAAATGCCTGTAATCCCAGCACTCAGGAGGATCGCTGAGACCAGCTTGGGCTACATAGTGAGTTCTGGGTCAGCCTCGATTACATAGTGAGACCCTGTCTCAAAAAACCAAAAAAAGCCGGGTGTGGTGGCACACACCTGTAATCCCAGCACTCGGGAGGCTGAGGCAGGAGGATCTCTGTGAGTTCGAGACCAGACTGGGCTACAAAGTGAGTTCCAGGTCAGTCTCAACTACATAGTGAGACCCTGTCTCAAAAAAACAAAACAAAACAAAAAAACAATAAATAAATAAATAAATAAAAATAATAAAGGTCACTGTGGTTTATAGATGTGGGTAGGCGGAATGGGCTGGAGGCAGAAGGGTTGACGATAGAAGATTACTTGGGAGACTAATTAAAAGGTTGCCCAGGGCATTAACAAGGACAATTTAGACTTGAGTAGCATCACCCAGAGACACAAAAAACTGCGAGACTTGGAAGTTGAGGAAGGGCCTGATCTATTTCAAGTATCTTCCTGAATTCCTATCCATTAGAGTTTCAAGCATTTCATTTTTTTTCTTATATTCTTTCAACTTATTATTTTTTGATCAGGCAGTGTTGTCAGACATTACGGGCGATGAAAAGGAGAGGTCCTTTTCTTCCAGTAGCAGTAGCGATCCGAACTTGGAGTAGTGGCAAGATCCACATAGGGCTTATAAAATGCCCACAGTAATAAGAACCAAAGGAGGTATAGACCTAGTAGTATCAGCATCAAAGAAGAAATAAATTACTTCTGGTGAATTCCCATCTGATCTTTCGAAGCATGAGAGGCTACTGACAGATAAAAGAAGAGGCACTAGAACAAGGGAGAACATACAAATGACGAGCTAGAGGCAAAAACGCATATTTCGGGAAGGATAAGTGGGCACTGGCTGAACCAGCGATCTGGAAAGAAAGCAGGTAAGGGCTGAGGATTTAGCTGAGTGGTTCCACTGCCTGCCTCGCAAGCGCAAGGACCAGAGTTCAAACAAAACAAAACAAAACAAAAAAACATTAAAAAAAAAAGCAGGTAAATAAACCAGGAAAACAATGGATCAGTGGACAAGCTGTGGTTTTCAAATGGCAAAACCAGGGGCTGGGGGTGAGAGAGAAGATACCGAATACAAATTGCCATCGTTCACAGATCTGTAGATTTCCCTGATAGGAGGGATTTCTGAAGGCACATTCTTTTTTTTTTCAAATTAAATTTATCATCATTTTATTAAAAAATGTGTAAAAGAGACAAGGCATAAAAATTCAAGGCGTAAGCATTTGACAACAAGGATGACAATTTCTGATTACTTAAATGAGTCACAATCCAGAATCCATGAAGCAAAAGCACTCTTAGCTCCTTCCAGTGATCTCTGTGCAGACCTCCAAATGGTATTGGGGAGATAAAAGTAACTCCCAACCTGCTGGATGTCGGAGTTCATGTTCTTTAAAATTGAAGAATGAATTTTAAGTAACTGTGGAGGTTAACAGTAGGAAAAATTTATTGAGAAAGATAACTCCTTAGTGATGGGAGGAGACCTGAAAGTGGGTTGCTGCAGACTACAGATGTGGGCATAAAATGAGGTGGGTGCAATGTGGATTAAAACTATGATCAATCAGTGAGATTATAAGTATAACCCCTTAGGTAATATTGGTCCAATGGGGAAGCAAGTCACATAGCAAGATACATGGAAAGAACAAGGACATTTTTTTACAAAGTGATGGATCAGGAGGTCCTGGCCACCCACATTCTTATAAAGCCTGGCTCTCTTACGGTGCTGAAGCTAAAAGCGAGAAGCAAGAGGGCGGCTAGTGAAAGGGCCCTGACAAAACGGAGACGGAAGGAAGCGCGGTGGTCTCCAACCCCTCCTTCCCTCATTTCACCCAGCCCCTAGGCGTCCATGCTGCTATCAATGAGTTGGTTTCACCAGTAAAATACCTTTGGGGTGATAATGCCAAATTCATATCTGTTATTAGAATGATTTAATTTAAAAAAGCACATTGTTCCTGGCAGAGAAGGCCCCTGAACGTTCTTTAATAAATAAAGGTGTTTTAGGTTTGTTGCTCCAGGAGCCTAGATTTAGGACAGGAAATGACTCAAAACTGCATCGCAAAGCCTATGTCTTCTATTAGCACTGAAATTGGAAGACCTGTTGTCAAGAGACCCGGTTCCCCCCTTTAACATTTAGATTTCTTGCCCACTCCCGCCCGGCGCATCCCTCAGATCCTTAGGTCCAGTGGGGTGGGTGGTGGGTGGGGGGGTTACAATCCAAGCAACCAATCGTGGAGCAGCCACGGGGCGGAGCCACGTCGCTCCACCCCCTCCTCCAGCCAGTCTTCCTAACCTTCCCAAGCCCGGCTTATCTCGCACCTGCGTGTCCCTGGGCGTCCCAGCTGGTGCAACTTCTCCACTTCTAGCGAGGAAGGGGCGTGGCCTCTCCTCTCGCGAGACCGCCTCCTGTTGCTGTCACCACCTCTCCTGGCCGCTGACTGGCCGCGCCTGCGCAGCCGCCATGTTCGGTTGCTATGCTGAGGCCTAGGAGACGGGGTGTGCTTGAAGGAGGAGGAGGAGACGGAGGAGGAGGAAGAAAAGGAGAAGGAGGAGGAGGAGGAGGAGAAGGAGGATGGGGGGGTGACTGAACGCCTCTTGCACTCTCACACACTAACGCTGCCCAGGATTGCCAGCCCGCTCACGCCGCGCTGCGCGCCTTTCCGCTCCTCGCGGCCCCCCTACATTGTTCTCCCAGGACTCCAGGGTCCTCAGGAATCGGGCTTGAGCTGGGACAGGGAGCGATTTGGCTTTGGCCGAAGGG